GAGAGAATCTTAAGCAGACTCTCCGCTGAGCGCAGAGCCCGACGACCCCGGGGCTCTATCCTACAACCCTGTGATCATGACCTGAGCTGAAACCAAGAGCCAGACGCTTAACCGACTGAGTCTCCCAGGCGCCCCCAGAGCACACAGTCTTGATGAAAATGGAATTTTTTTGTCTTTTGCATGCTATTATTCTTCTTAATATTCTTTTTCGTTTCCTATAGTCTGTATGGCTACTTGCCAAGAATGCACATTTGTCATACTCCTCTTTTCACCTTACTCCCCTTTAATGTGAGGGATCCTATTGGGACCCTCTTTGGCCAGATACAAGGTGAGTACATTCTGGACTCCCCTTCCTTCTTATCTAGGACCTGTTGATCTTCCCTTCAGAACTTCAGCTCAAGGACTTCATTCTGATGGGTTTTTTTCCATAGAATTGTTGCCCTCAGAGGACGTCATTAGCTCGGTGGGGCTGTTGTCAGCAGCTTTGGTCTTAGATCTTTTCTGGGACAAGGGGTGGAGGTAGGGATGTCATTCTTTCAGGTTAAAAGCGCACCCACACACACCCACACACAAAAGTTTCAGTCTTACAGAGAGTAATTTGGCCAAATCTCTCATTATTACAAACGCATTTGTCCTTTGATGTAGAAATCCCATTTGGGGAGATTACTCTGCAAATGAACTTGCACACCTATGGAATGACTTTTATAGAAAGCTGCTCTCTGCAGCATTGTTCATAATAGTAGCAGACTGGGAAGAGCTCACATATCCGAGAACAGGGAACAATTATGGTACAACCACGTGGTGGAAGATTTTGTTGTAAAGAAGAATGAAGAAGTTATTGCTACTGTGGAAAGCTCTGAGCTTAGAGTATTAATGGGAAAAGCAATCTCTGTCCGCTGCTGTTTTGCAGTGGGTGTGTGTGTTTTTTTACACACGTAAATGATACTTTTTTATGAAAAGGAAAGAAAAAGATATATATTCATAAAGAAACAGTGGAAGGATATAGAAGAAACTAATAAAAGTGGTCACTGGTAGGAGGCCGTGGGGGCAATAGGCGGGATGGGGAAGTGAGAATTTTCACTATCAACGTTTTCAAAGTCATTAGGTATTTCAGCCACTACCTTTTCTTAAAAAGTAAATGAAAAAATGTATACACAGATGTCTTCATTCCTGTGACCAGTGACTCCGTGTGCCTCTCCCCAGCAGCTGCCTTCATGCTCCTTCCATTTCACTGAGGGGAAGAAGGTGTTTTCAGTCTGCATCTGCCTGTCGCTGACGGGGAGGGGACCTTCCAGAATCTTCCCGGGCGCCTTCCGTCAGCCTTTCATGCCTGCCTTGCATTGTGGGAAAGCCCTCTGGTAGATGGAGTCTGGCTCGGCGGGAGCACAGTCATGTTCTCTCCGGTCCTTCCAGCCTTGAGCACCACAGTCCCGGATGGAGGTCATCTGCCCATCTAGGAAGCACTGTGGTGCCAGCAGAGGCCGCCCTCCGGCTCACAGCTGTGCACGTCTCTTTCCCGTGGCCGGCTCCTTGCTCTCTGCCTCCACATTAGAAGGTTATAGTGAAGTTTTCCAGACGTTGTCGCTCACCCTCTTCTCTCTGGGCTGGGGAGGAGGGCTCTGGAGTGGGTTGGAACAGCACCATCATAGATTTCTGGAAGCTTTTGCTCTTTTTTTGCTGACCAGTGTTTAAGAAAAACGAGACCTAAAGTTGCAGTTCTCTTCTTTTGTTACTTATTTTTGTTCATATCAAGAGATTCCGTGAGTCTGGCTTGACACATCATTTTACCCTAGTAGTTTGTAGTTTGGGACACTTTTTATGAATATCTGTTGTCTTACTCCAAGCATATTTACCTGCAGTGGCTAGTTAGGAAGGTAATGGTCTTAGGTTGGTTTAACATTTTAATTGACACTGTAAATAGGGTCTTCTGAACGCTTAACAATTTTTTTGAAATTATAAAATAGTTAACATACAGTGTTGTGTTAGTTTCAGGCATACAACATAGCGATTCAAAAATTCTATACGTCGCTCGACAATTATTATTTAATATGCAGGAGAAGTTTTTTTCTTCAGCTTTGCAGAGTGACACCTTTTTCCGTAACACAATAACAGAGTCAGCAGTGAATCTTAACCAGTGAAGAGTCCAAATTCACGCGGTTTTGTTATTAGGAATGTATGTATTAGCGTTTGAGAGGTATGCCTTAAAGTATCTCTCGGTAGCTGTCATAATATACTGTGGAGTAGAATTTAAAGTACAGACATGATACATTTACTAGAGTAGCCAGCAGTCCCCTCACTGTTCAGAGGGAGTAGCAAACCCTTTCACTCCTTAGGTACATTAGAAAGAAATGCTCTGTGTTTTTCCTTATCTTTTCTTCCCATAACAGTTCTTCATAATGTTTGCTGAGTGGTTTCTTCTAACCTTGAATTATCTTGGTACATGTAAGCTGTGTTATCTATGTCATGATGATCGTAAGCCTAATTAAATTCTTGACTTGAACTCTGGTCTTTGTTCATAAACAATAAATTTAAAAGCTCTGGAATAGAGCCCCACCCTTTTTTTTGAAGTATGAAACCTGTATTTATCTGTTCTAAATTTTCTATCTTTTGATAAAAGAATCCCTCTTGAAACTGCCTGTTTGGGGGTTCTGTTAACAACACTGCTGAAGATTTGCTTAAACCAGATTCAGTGAAGCACTTTTCTTTCACAGAGGATCTAATTCTTCCACTCTGACTTCAGAATTTTTATAAAATAACACAACGAGGGGCGCCTGGGTGGCTCAGTCAGTTAAGCATCCGACTCTTGATTTGAGTTCAGGTTATCATCTCGGGGTCATGAGATCGAGCCCCACTCAGTGTGGAGCCTACTTGGGATTCTGTCCTTCTCCCTCTGCCCTTCCCCGCTCATGCTCGCTCGCTCTCTCTCTAAAATAAATAAATAAATGAAATAACAGAATGAGGATAGACTATAATGATTCTTTGTTGATTTCACCGGAGAAGATCCGTAGCCTTTGTTTCCAGATTTCACTCCCAAACCCAGAAGTTAATTTTTTCCTGAGGTGAGTACTCAGTTTTCTGAAGCATTCCCAGGATTAGCTAGAAAAAGGTATCCCTTACTTTCCCCAACCCTATAATCGCCCTGCCAGCCCCACACCACTGCCTGACCCCCAGCCGGCGGAAGAGCTCCGAGCCAGTGAACCCCAGACGTTGTTTCATTCGACCTTTCAGATCTTCTCTCTGTGCTGAGTTAGTCGAAATGCCAGCTGGTCGTCTTGGTATTTATGTTCTGTTTTGTATTTGTGTTTGATACGAAAATAAGTTGAGTATTTAATATTTGAGTATTCTGTCGCTCTCAACTTTTCTGTTTCTAGTTTACACGATAACTCGAGAATGAAAAAGTTGGATTTAGGGGCACCTGGGTGGCTCAGTCATTGAGCGTCTGCCTTCAGCTCAGGTCATGATCTCAGGGTCCTGGGATCGAGTCCCACATCGGGCTCCCTGTTCAGCAGGGAGTCTGCTTCTCCCTCTACCACTCCCCCTGCTTGTGTTCCCTCTCTCACTGTGTCTCTCTCTGTCAAATAAATAAATAAAATTCAAAAAAAAAAAAAGTTGGATTTAAACTCCATAGGGACAGACTGGCATGGTACCGTCTCGTCTCACTCAAATACCAAAGCAGTTGACTTTATTCTGGAGGTTTATAATACCATGTCAGATTTCCAACGGTCTCCTGTTCCATTAAAGGGACTCCCTGTTCCTCTCCCCCTTGACCACCCGTGGTAGTCCTCCTGAAGCTCATAGAAGACGAGGGGTTTCCTTTCCCCAAGATCCGATTGACATTTCTTCCTCAGGACCTCTATATTATGATCTCTTTGAGGCTTTCAGGTTGAATGAAAAAATATTTTTTTTTCCATTTGTAATGTTTGGATGACATTCACAACATTCGCTCGCTTTGTTATTTCTTCTCTTTGTAGAATGAAAAGAAATGTTGAGAAAGAAGTAAAGCTCTCGTCCTCTGCCTCAGATATTTATGATGGGTGTCGGGAAGTCTAAAATAGACCCCTGCCCTCTCTCTCTCTCTTGGGGTAAAAGCCCCGGGGTGGAAATGAGTCAGAGATGCCAGAAGTCAGTTTCCAAGACACCTGACGACCTCTCCCTGTGCCATCTGGCTGAGCCTGGCCCCGCGGCCCTGGTGTCCGCTGGGGAGCACGAGGGAGCCGAGGGCCGGGGAGACATGTCGGAGAAGGAGGATGAGGACGAGGACGAGGTGTTCCTCAAGTTCGTGATCCTGCACGCGGAGGACGACACAGACGAGGCCCTCAGAGTCCAGAACGTGCTGGAGAACGACTTCGGCATCAAGCCCGGGATCATCTTTGCCGAGATGCCCTGCGGCCGGCAGCACCTGCAGAACTTGGACGACGCCGTGAACGGGTCTGCGTGGACCATCTTGTTACTGACCGAGAACTTCCTGAGAGACACCTGGTGCAAGTTCCAGTTCTACACGTCGCTCATGAACTCGGTGAACAGGCAGCACAAGTACAACTCGGTCATCCCCCTGCGGCCCCTGCACAGGCCCCTGCCCCGCGACAGGACTCCCTTCGCTCTGCGGACCATCAATGCCCTGGAGGAAGAGAGTCGGGGCTTCCCCACCCAAGTCGAAAGAATCTTCCAGGAGTCCGTGTATCAGATCCAACAGGCTCTGTGGAAGGAGAGCCGAAGCAGTGGCCGCCACCAGGCCCTCTCCTGAGACGGAGCCCCCAACACGCGGCTGGCTAGCTCTCGTCTGGCAAAGGCCACCGCTTGTCTCCACTTAAGAAGGCGCAGCTCTGGCAAGAAGTTGACAGAAGCTGACACAAACCCAGGCGCTCAAGCACGATACATTTCTGCGGGACACCACGTAGACTTTGGAAGTACTTTTCCATATTTCGGATAAACTTGAGACTGTCCGAGCTTCGAGAACATTCCTCTTTTCCTTTTCTGGGTCCGTGCGTGTCACAAAGGATAGCCTTCATTTGCATCCCTTGTGTCAGTCCTTGAACACAGACTTCGGTGAGAGATGCTGTACAGATATGATGACGCTTCCATTTGTTCGCAAAGGACACGCGGGACAGAAGGTCCCCAGGAGATCTGACCGCCCTTCCTTGGGAGGCCCCTCTCAGAAGCGCCCCAGTGGAGCGTGGCTGGTCTCGTGGCCCCGACGAGAACATTCAGAATGTTGAGTAACGATGCCTACGAAATTAAAAGCCGATGCGAGAGTGGTGGGGCGCTTTACAAGACACCGATCGACTGTTGTTTTTCTTTCTGCTGGAATTGGGGGATTTGGAGACAGTGCCTACCATTGACTAGCCACCCATTTGGTGGCGCTGTGGCTAGGGGACTCCGGGGAGCCCTGTCCTGAGGTCCCCTAGAGCCTCAAGCTCTTGTTAGGTCATCCGTAACCAGGGCTTCATGCACACGGTTTCTGAAACGTGTGTGTGTCCTTGGCTCGGTGTTCTCCTTCATCTCTCTCAGGGCAGCCTTTAAAAAATTCCTCTCACAGGGCTCTACCCAGGAAGTATTTCTCAGCTCGGTGATCAGAGTAGCCTCAGCGTGTGCGCGTCTGTACGTCGTAGATTATCCACAGACTTAGGATGGAAGCAGGAGACACGTTCTGTGTGCCGCATCACAGCCTCCCGCAGAGGCCTACCCAGCCCTGTCCCGTCCCCTCATGCCCTCCTGGCTCACCTGCAGCTGAGGGAGAGACCTCAGGTACAGACGGGCGACGAGCTGGAGTGCGAGTCACGTCATGTTGTAACAAGCAGAGCGGCCGCTGGGGACCAGGAGACCTGGTTCCTGTCCAGTCTCTGCTGCTCGGGCTGAATGTGATCTTCTCCTCCTTTATCTGTGACATGAAAGGCTTGAATTGATGGAGCTCTAAAGGGCCTTTGTCCTCTCTCAGAATGTGAACAACTAGGCACCAGAAAAGGGGACAAGCGAAAAAACAACAATTTTGTAATGTGATGTGTAATAAGTTGCAGGAGGCTTAAGATAGGCTCCCAATGAAAGGATATGCTAATGTGTTGACGGCATAATTGATTTCCGATGCTATCTGCTACACTTTCATAGTCAAAACTGAATTACAATACTTGCTTACTCAGAGTCTTTTAAAATACATTTTTTGTAGGGATTGTTGAGTAAAGACGTTCTGCCTGATGTTTCTTTCTCCTTATCCTCACTTCGTGTCTCCTCCTAGTCCTGGGGTCTGCTCACATCTTTCTGCCTCCACCTCTTCATAGCCATGACCGAATGTTCTGCGAGGAACTTTTCCCATAATCCTGCAAGTAAGTCAAACCTCCTACTTTATAGTACTCCTTGAAGAAGAGATTGTTTTCATTGTGCGGTGACATTTGCTTAAAGTCCTTTTCTATCATAGTAGCTTACTACTCACTTTTCTTTTTCAGTTTTAATAATACGCTTTTTTTCCCCCTCTGTGGCTTCATCTATCTCCAATTTCATATAGTAAAAAAACATTAACCCACCCTTCCTGCTTACTACCAAAGCGGGAGCCATGGATGCTGGATGGTGTTTTTTAAATAAATGTTTCTATTCATTACCCTTGACTACACTTGATTATTTCCAACTCCAGGGAAGACTGTGGGAAAGTATTTTGAAAAAAAGGCATTAATCTGTACTCCTCCACAGAGTACCAGGCACAGCGTCTCCTTCAATCTGGAGTGAAATACATTTTTTGTAATGAAGAAAAATATGAAGTCCTGAATAACTGTGTATGTTGCAATTAACTGCTGTAAAAAGAACTACCAAAGAACTATACCGAGGATGACAAGAAGTCAAGGTGCAGCCTTGGTTGTGTGTTTGTGTGTGTGTACGTATGTGTAGATCAGATTTACACGCACACGGAAATTCTGTAACACTGTGCCGCACGCTGGAGAGCTTCCACGTGGAGGACTCTCTGGGCTTCATTGCCCACCCTGGAGCTTCACAGAAGGGCCTGGGTTGTACCGAACAGGTCTGTTAGGATTCTTCCAGATGCAGGAAACAGAAACCCAATGCCACGTGACCCACACCATAAGGTAAGCTTCTCTAACTTAACAAGAGGTCCCCTAAGGTATGGTGACTCCAAGGTGTCCTTTAAAAACCCAAGTTCTTGGGCGCCTGGGTGACTCAGTTGGCTAAGCATCCAACTCTTGATTTCGGCTCAGGTCATGATCCCGGGGTCCTGGGATCGAGCCCCGAGTCAGGCTCCCTGGTCAGCCTGGGAGCCTGCTTCTCGGTCTGCCATCCCCCCTGCTTGTGCTTTCTTGCTCTCTGTCAGATAAATAAATAAAATCTTTAAAAACAAACAAATGAATAAAACCCCCAAGTTCTTATAAACAACAGCGTATTATTCTACCTCAAAAAGAAGATTCTGATACGTGCTCCAACATTAGATGAACTTGAAAACGTGTGAAGTGGAAAAAAAAAACAAAACCAGACGCAAAAGCCAAACACAAATATTATATATAGGACTCCATGAGGTACCTAGAACAGGCAAATTCACAGCAACCGGAAGAACAGAGGTGACTGGGGGTTGGAGGGAGGGAAGAACAGGGAGTCATGTCTAGTGGGTACAGAGCTTTTGTTTGGGGTGATGAGAAGTTTCTGGAAATGGATGGTGGCAATGCTTGTACAACATTGGGAATGTACTTACTGTCACTAAAGCGTATGGTTAAAATGGTAAATGTTACTTATATTTGACCACAGTAATAAAGAGAAAAACCCAGGATCTTCTCATCCTTTGGTCCTGCCGTCCTCAGTGTCCCGGTTGAGCCCCCTCAGAGTACCCTGGCTGCTCATTTATACAGCTGGGGGAGAGCAGGGGCAGGGCCAAAGGCAGAGGGAGAGAGAGAATCCCAGGCAAGCTCCATGCCCAGCGTGGAGCCCAGTGTGGGGCTCGATCCCACGACCCTGAGAGCACGACCTGAGCTGAAACCAAGAGTCTGACGCTTAACCAACCGAACTACCCAGGCACCCCAGGTTTTATTATTTTTAAAAATTTCCACCTGCACCCAGTGGACCCCTTCCCCTGCTTCCTGTCCCCCATCCCCTGAAGCCCACTGCTGTGGAGTCAGACCCCCACCCTTTCCCTCGATAAATTGTGATCTTAAGCGAGACCCCTCACTTCCTGGGTCTCAGGGTCCTCATCTAAAAACAGAGCTAAGAATACCTGGAGGGTGGGATGATTCTGAGGATTCAGTGAAATAATGCACGTGGAGCACAGAAGGACCTCCTGCTTAGCCAGGCTACTACAGTAAGATGGGACGCTGGGTGGGGGGAGGGGAGATAGGATTGCCCCCAACCCTACTTTTGGAACCCTGGCAACTCGTAGGGAGCAGATTTTAAAGAGAAAGCGGGCCTTGTCTCCAGGAGCCAAGCCGAGATCCCATCCCAAACCCAGAGGAGCCCCTGATGGCAGGGCTGTGTGAGCTGCGGATGGTGGGTGTGGCTGAGGCCTCAGCTGCCCTGGGCGGTCGGTCCCGTGTCCCTGCCTCTCCTCCTGCACGTAGCCCGGTCTTCCGCCACCGGCTGCTGGGCCGTCCCCAGAACGTGACTGTCCCTCCGTACTTGCGGGAAGGTCGGAAGGGCAAGGAGGAAATTTCAGAAAGCTGCCAGGCACTTGACGGAGTGAAATCAGAGCATCTGAAAATGGATCTCCCTAAGCCGGGGACGAACGGGAATGAACTAGCGAGAGAGAATGGACGCTGTCCTTGAACCTGAGGTTTCTCATGAGATGCCGCCGAGGAGAGAGATGCTTTCGATTTTGAACCTTCCATGGCTGCCTAGGAACGATATTCTTAAAGAAATGCGTCCTCTAAGTCCTACTTGGCAATCCACGTTGTTAATACATGAAGTTCAAGTTGGAGTAAAGAATACTTGAATGTTGCCATTAACGAATAACTCAGAGCATTGGAAATTACTTGATCCAAAGCCCAACAAGTGAAGCTGTGGAGAGAAATAAGAGAGAGTTGCTCTCTTTGCCAATGCACTAGCTTTCACAACTGTTTACTCCAATATCCATACTCCGTTCACACCTCCCTCCCTTTCTGGCATGAGCCAGAATTGTTGGGGGGCTGCTAGGGGGTGGTGAATAACGCCTTCATTTGGAATCACACTCCTCTCCTTGTCTTCAAATAGAGTTAGCTCTGAGTCACTTTACTCGAGGTGAATAAATAGGAATGCTTTTTTTAGCAAATAACAGGAACCTGCATTTAAAGACTTTTTTTTTTCTTCTTCTTCATAATCAAGTTGGGAATGTCCCTGCCAGTTACCTCCTCAAACAACAGGTTTAAAGCAAGGAAATCTCGGCCGACTAGCTCCTCCCGGGGATTTTTGTGGCCACGGCCAGGATGCATAACCAGCTTTACAGATTTCTTTATTTATAAATAAAAACATGAATCTGAAATTATATTGTGATGGTTGCACAATTGCGCAAATATACTAAGTCTGCTGAGCTGTACACTTTGCATGTGTAGATTTTATGGTGTCTAAGATACAGCTCAATAAAGAATGAAAAGCAAACAACACCCCCCCGCCCCCCGCCCCCCCGCAAGCCGCAACAATAAAATGCTATAACCATTCGGAACACAGTTTGGCAGTAGCGAGTGATGTTGAAAATGGGGCTATCTTGTGAATCTAGTGATTTTTCCCCTGGAGCTGTGGAATTGTACCCTAGAGAAAGCCTCCCACAGGTATTGAAAGAAGCAGGTATACGGAGGACGTCTGTTGCAATATTCTCTGTACTAGTGAAAGACTGGAAGCAATCTAAATCAACAGTGAGAGAATTCAGAAACCCATTATGGCAGGTACCTACAATTGACTACTTTAGAGCTTTTAAAATAACAAAGCTTAAAAAAATATCAACATGTGTTAAGTCCCAAAAACAGTGCTGGGGAGGGTGCAGCAAGCTATAAAATAATATGGACCACCTGATAACCGTTTATATAAAGTTTTAAAACACACAGGTGGCACTCTTTTTTTTTTTTTTTTTAAGATTTCATTTATTTACTTGAGAGAGAGAATGAGAGACAGAGAGCATGAGAGGGAGGAGGGTCAGAGGGAGAAGCAGACTCCCTGCCAAGCAGGGAGCCCGATGCGGGACTCGATCCCGGGACTCCAGGATCATGACCTGAGCCGAAGGCAGTCGCTTAACCAACTGAGCCACCCAGGCGCCCAGGTGGCACTCTTTCTTGACGGATAACACACATAGGTGACAGTATGTTATTTTCAATGTTTTTCTGTATGTTCGAAATAGCTAATCTTTTTTTTTTCAGTTAGCACACACTTGCAGTCGTGTTCAGTGCTGTAGGAATTTCCTTACACATACAATGAATTGAGGAATGAAAAAAAAAAAGACTCGACAGATAATTTAGAAAAATAGCTGCTGGTAATAATAGGTTTCATTTTTTATCACCTACGGTGTCAGGCACTGAACTTACATTATGTGCAATATTCTGTAGTTCCTAGATGCTTAGTCTGATCATGTGCAATGTGAGTCCCAGGAAGCTGAAGCTGGAGACACGAGTCCTAAGCCCCAGGTTCACAGGCTGGAAGACGATGGAGTCATTAGAATGTCCCACGGTCTGGCTCCAAAGCCTGGTGGTGGTTGTTAGGCTCCATGATGCTGTTTCTCAGTGGATCTGCCTGCTTTCTCATGGTGGAGAATCTTAGGAGAGGTCAGTGGTGCAAAGAGAAAAAAAAACAAAACAAAACATAGCAATTTCTAAATTAAACCCCAGTGTCTGTGTGTAGTGAGGTTGCCCTATTTTTAGTCTTTGCCTACTGTGAGTAACTCATGACTGGGAGTCAGGAGATACATGTCCTGACTCCACGGAGCTGTCTTTCCTAACCTTTTCAGTCTTCTGTCTTCATTAGGCTGAAATTTTATCCTCAGTCTTGCATAGGACCCCTGCTTCGTTTTGCTAGAGGTTGCCGATGGTAAATGAAACACTGATTTAGAGGGAGGAAGAAGAATGAGAGGAGCAGGATAAGTGGACGTTGCGTTTATTTCAGGAAAATCAGTGTTGCAGCGCTCCCGGATACATATAACTGTGGGTTGTTGCTATGTACCTTTAGGAAGACAAGGTGGTTTCGCAGAGTCACAAAACGCTGACTAAGGGAACAAATGTAGGCATTCACATACACTATGATCTGTGAGTTTCGAGAGGGGCTAGTTGTAACACAAATTATTTTTCATGAGTAGATGATACTATAGATAAAATTCCTGTGACCTAGAATGCCATATGTTTTGATGACAGGACAGCCTGTGAGGACGCATTATCTAAGTTCACGTCTCAGAGCTGCTGTGAAAAGGAAATGAGTCAACCCAGGTAAAGCGCTGAAGACAGGGTGGGTGAGACTTTCCAGGAAGTCCCCATCGTCCTTTTCCGGCCCATGACTTCTGGCCGACTGCTAAGTGATTAGCTAAGCAGTTAGATCCAGATCTTGGTTGTTGCCCTATTTTTTTTTCCCCCTTCCAGACCATATGGGTTCACTTTTCCCTGAAAAGTTTGCCAAAAGCCAAGGAACAGTCCATCTGCCACTTAAACAAGAACAGAT